AAAAAAGCAATAAATTGTACCTAAGGATAAACACACATAATTTGTTGTTGTTTTGTTGTCTAAAAGAAAACGAAAGAACATGGACTAGAAAGAGAAAAAAGAGGCGAACGGATACATCATTCCGGTAGGAGAATTTCAAGAGACTAAGATAAGACTACCACAACATATGTATGGCACAACATCAAATAAAAATATTTTTATGATGATGAATTTTTTCAAATTTTATCTTGTTTTAAATGACTCATTAATTTTTGACGAATTTCTCGAATACGTTGATTTAAAATACGTTTATTTGGAAATAATTCTGCATTTAATATTTGAAATGATGATATTGATGCATCTAAAATTTTTAATTCAATATTTTTGTTTTTTGTTTTTAGCAATTTTACCTGTTGGATAAAGATGATCTTTAAGAAATTCAATAACTTTTAATTTTGATGATAATTGACTTTTATTTATTGAGTCATTTGTTGAATGTCGATTTGTACTTAATTTTATATATTGATTTTTCATTTCTAAAAAATTTAACAAAACAAAAAAATCTTTTTTGATATATAACAAAAAATAAATCAATTTACCATCTAATTGTTTAATATAATCCATAGGTAATTGTTTTATTTCTGTTTGACTTTGTTCATTAATAATTGATGCTTTTCGTTTACGTGTTACCATTGAACATGATTCAATTATTCCTCCACGTTCACTTATACTTCGAGATCGAGTTCTTGGTCCTTCACTTTCCTTTAATTATCAAAAAAACAAAACTATTGAGTCAAATGATAAATATATTCAAACCTCTAAATTAATAATTTTTTGTCGTTTATTTAATGGTTCATCTAAATCAATTTTTTGTTGATATAAAATTGAAGATTTATAATTAAAATCCTCATCTGTTGTTATTTGAGATTTAATTTTTAAAATTGGTTTAAATGATGTTGGGGATGTTTTACTTCTTTCCGATAATGAACTATTTGAACGTGAACTAAAAGCTGATAGAATAGTACTACTTCCATCAATTGATGAACCACTTGAATAACCTGTTGATGTACTTGATGATGAATATGATGAAACTTTAATAAAAACATAAAAAAACATAAAATAAAAATATTTTTATTAAATTTACCAAATGAATGTGTTTGATGTTCATCAATAGATATTGGTTTAATTGATGATTGTAAATGTTTAAGTTGTTGTTCAAGATCTATATTTGTTTTACGTTGATTAATTAACATTGAAACAATTGTTCGACAAGTTTCACTATGAGATAATATTGATGGAGATTTTGATAATGAATATTCATTTGAATAATCATATTTATCAATTATATTTGATTGTTTATCTTTTTCTAATAATATATTTGTTTCATTTTCGATTTCTAAATTAATAATATTTATTAAAAATCTGTATAAATTCTAATCTATCAGATAGTTGATCGAATAGACTAATTATTTATTTTTATACATTAAAATAATCTCTAATGAAGAATAGCAAGACTATCAGTGGCTATGTTATTCGGCAAGTATTAATAAGATATTTCTGATAAATGTTCATTATCATCATCTATGAAATTATTCTAGAAAAATCCATATTCAAATTTGGAATTAATTATAATTATTTGTTCTTTAAAACATATTTTTTTGATAAATAAATAGAAAAATTTCGAATTTCTTATAAATTGATAAAAAGAAAAAATATTCTTTTCATAAATCATTTAACGAATAGATAAAACTCAACATTTGACTTGATTTGTTTTTTTTTTTGAATTAGAAGAAGAGGGCGGATTATTTAATAAAAGAGTACTTCTCTTTTCTCGAATGTTATTTCATTTATAAACATCTTATGAAAATAAGAAAAAAAAAACTCATTCTTTTCGTCAAAAGAAAACTTTTGTTTGAGTATTGGTGATCGATCGAAAAACATTTAATGCCCTCAGATTGTCAAGGTTGTTATTATTATGAAATGAAAATAGATTGAAAGTTTTTGGAATATTTTCGACAGTAAAAAAATCAGTTTTTAAGAAATTTCTCTAAATCTTGTTTGAAACATTTGTTGGATCAGAAAAAAAAATCTATCTGTCGAATTGAATAATAAATAAATATCTTACGATAAGATGAATGATCAGTTTGTGTTGGATTAATAATATTAAATGTTGTATTAGGATGAATAGGTACAGGTGTTATTATATTTGTTAATGTTGATGAATTTTCTAATGATGGTTTTGTTATTGGTGAAAAATATTCTGTTAATTTTGGCATATTTGTACAAATCTATTTGATTAACAAAAACAAAATAAAAATTTTTGTTTTTTAAAAAAAAACTAAAAATACTTGTGCAAAAACTTGAAGTGGATCTGTTGGAGTTGGTGATGATATTATTTTATTATTTGTTTGTAATCTAGTTGATCTTCTTAATTGTTCTTTATTTAAATCACTTAATTGTTTAGCACGTAATTTATATTGTTGTTGTTGATATTGTGATAATGAATACCATTTTTCACCTAACATTTTAGATACATTTCTATTATCATAATGTGGATTTTCTAAATGTATTTTTGCTCGTTCTTCTTGAGAAAATAACATAAAAGAATTAATTGGACGACGTATTAATTTATCTTTTAAATATTTATTTGAATTTTCTTTTATTAAAATAGATTTATTTATTTGAGATTGATGACTAGTTTCATTTAATGGAATATTAATTATTAGTTTATCTTTATCTTTATCTTTATCTTTTAATGATAAATGTCTTGAACAAAGACCAAATCTTTGAGATTCTTTTATACATTTTTCATATGAACAAAGACGACGCCATTGTTTACCATTATATTTTTTTCGTATTTGAGAATCAATTGTTATTATATCACCTTTACGATATGATTTTTCATTTAATACATTTTCACATATATCCATTTTCATATTTGATGAATCATTTGAACAATTATTATCATCTACACATAATGGACTTACACATGAACCTATTTTCAAATTAAACAACTTTTTTTTTTTTTTGTTTAGTTTAAAGAATTATTTTATTTGTCTATAGGAATTCTTCTTATATCTAATCTTATTATTAAGAAAAATTTTCATAATCTATCTGTAGAAAAAAAAGATAAGATTGACATACAACCTTGATCAACATCCTCTTCAAACCGCTGCCGCTGTGGCGGTGGCGGCGCGGTAGCGGTCGTTTTTTTAACTAACTATCGCGGCAGCGGTGTGGTAACGGTAGGTTTTTTTGGAGAACAATGCATGAATTCGAACAGAATTTCAATGTTTGCAAGTGCAAAACTATGAGATTCAACGAATCTTATCGATTGGTAACAACAGCTCTAGTCCTGAACAATCACAGATCGTAAAATTCACAACATTATTCTAACAATCATCGCGGCAGTGGCGCGGTAGGTTTTCAACCGCGACGGACATCTCTATTTCAAAGTACACTTCATATTTAGAATTGGAATATATTAGTTTTGTCTTATATGACAAAATAATATCTTTGTGTTTGATCATCAAAACTAGGAATTAACTAATGTATATATATATATCAAACTAAACCAGTAAATTCTGTTAGGCTTTAACAAATATTGTAAAATAAAGTACTTGTATAGTCTTGTAAAAGATTAAAAAAATCCTTTGGATATATTCTATGAATAAACCTATTGTTTAATAGTTATTATATAGATTTAATAACATTGAATGTTAAATCTCCTATAAAAACTTAACTTTCTAGTGCAAGAATTGATCTGAAATAAATACACAATTTTATAGAAGATTGAATGATTTTGAATATATATATATATAGAGTTAACAATATGTTATTAGATTTGAAAAAGTGTAATTCCTTGTTTTTAACTTAACATACAGATTTCAAATTGAAAAGAAACAGATAGTTTAGTTTTATTCAGGTCAAAAAAAAACATTTTATGTATGTTCATTGTAATAAAGGTTATGACCTCAAGAGAAAAGACAAAATCATGTTCACTCACTATTCAAGGTTTTACTTTTATGATTTACCTTTTTTGTTTTTCTAATTTTCAATTTTAAACTAAATATTAGTTTTATTAAGTTTTAAGATTAAACAATTAATTATTTTTTGTTCTATAATAGACTTAAGATTTTTCATAAGATTGACATATGGAAGTTAACAAAAACAAAAAAAAGACTAATTTTGTCAATGTTATTTTATATTAAATGCAATTAATATTTTTCGAACTTTCATATTCTATTATATAACATTGATGTAGAGCAGAACAAAAAAAATTCATCACTTCCATTAAGTGACATAATAGTTAAAGAAACATGACAAGTTTTTTTTTTTTTTAAACAAAAATTTTTTCATCTAACTTTACCGGAAGAAAAAGTTAATGTCGAAGTAAAAATGTTTTATAGAAATAATATATTTCTTTATGAATTTGTTCTCTATTGGAAATATTATTCTATTCAACTATAGTGAAAATAAAATTTTGAAAGAGTTTATTTAATCTGATTCATTTTTGTTTTGTTTCTTTTCATCTTTATTTGATGTAAAATCTAACATTTACTTATCTACTTAATTCAATTTTTTTATCAAAAAAATTTTTATCTATTGACAAATCAAAGGAAAAAGACATGTTCAAGGGCATTCTAGTTAACATCAGAATTTTATAATCGTATTTTGATAAGATTTTCTAAGTAGTCATGACCAAGATAGGAAATTTTAGAAGTTATCAAATCAAGTTCTAACGAGGGTACCCTGAAAAGAGTTCGGGCGGCTAGTTTATTATTGTCGAGATACTGCATTTTTATGGTATTTTTAACTAAGCACAATGCCGTAGTCCCCCTCAGGAATCAGAAAAACTGAGTTTCGAGTTTTGACTTGAAACTTCGTACAGAAACAGATCTCAGTGAGAGTAGTTTATTGTGAAAGTTTCAGGCATTTTGGTTGTTCCTATCCTAAGATACAGCTAAAAAGGGTGTTTTTACACTGCTCGTATACCCTCGACAGGTTCCGATGTGCTTATTTCAGAATAGGACCAACCAAAAGATCTGAAACTTTCAAAATAAGCCACTCTCATTGAGGTCTGTTTCTGTGCCAAACTTCAAGTCAAAATTCAAAACTCAGTTTTTTTGGTGCTCCTGAGGGGGACCACGGCGTTCTGCTTAACAATATCATAAAAATGCAGTATCTCGACAGTAATGGGCTCAGGGTTGGAACCGATCCGGCAAACCGGTACCGGTCCCGACCGGTTGAAGAAATCGACCGGGCCGGTAAAGACCGGAATTTCACCGGTTGAAATTTTTCAAAAATCTTCTTTGTTAATCCTGTCTTTGACCATAAAAACTATGGTATCACATGTTTTTTCTGTCAGAATAGGTAAAAAAGTGCTCAAAACATATGTTATATTAATCGTTTTTCCTGAGGTTCTCTTTAAAAAGATTCATTATGATGAGCGTCTTTTACATGCGCCTTAAACTATTTCATATTTGGAGCGATTTTTTCTAAAAATCGGTTTTCAAAAAAATATTCGACATTTTTCCACCGGTTTTTAACCGGTTTTCACCGGAATTTCACCGGTTGGACATGTGATTCCAACCGGCCGGACCGGACCGGTAGGATTTTTCAACCGGCCGGACCGAACCGTTTTAAAATTTCTCAACCGGTTCCACCCCTGAATGGGCTAGCCGCCCGAAATCTTTTCAGGGTATTCATAGCTCATTAGGACCTACATGATGCACATAGTTTTGACTCAAAAGCGATTGAACAGTTCGTGACCTTCCCTTGTAAGTGTAGCCTAAGAAGTGTCGAATATTTATTTTTCGATTGATAACAAATGTTGATGATTTTAAAAAAAGAAAAATCTAATAAAAAAGAAATATATTTACCATTAAAAATCTTCTTAACAGTAAATAATCTTGTTTGATAAAGTGCTTCATTCCAATCAATTGGAATTTCTAAAATAAAATGTAACGAAAAAATAAAAAAATAAAACTCGAGAACAAACCATCATGCCATGGTGGTAAAAATAATCTAATAGATTGTCTTGGTACACATAATATATCATATTGATCTTGAAATAAAATTTTAAATTTTCCTTCTTGTGTTTTTTCAATAATAACAGCTGTTTGATATAAATTCTTATTATATGGATTTTTAGTTAAAATATATTTTCCTTCAATTAAATCTTGTATAGGTGGTGCATTATCAGATAATATTCCAAATATATTTTCATAAACATTTATTTCAATTATTTTATTATTTGAATATTGATTTAATTGTACAGATAAACAACCATTTAAACCAATATTTATTATTTTACCTGATATATATTCATTTGAATTTATTTCTACAAGAACTGTTATTGTTCTCCAATCTTGAAAATTATATTCACGTAATAATTTATTTATTTCTAATATATAATCTAATAAAATATTATTTTATATGAAAATATTTATTATTTTTTTAATTATTTTAAAATTACTTTGATTATTATTATTAACTTGTTGTTGATCATCATGATGATGTGCTAACCAACGTTTTTTTAATGAAAATTTTTTTTGATCTTCATCATTGATTGTTGATGATCGTCTTAACATTGTTTTTGTTTTTATTTATTAAATTATATATTTAATCATATTGCAAATCAAATTAATACAATAAAATAACACCGGATTGATAAATAAATGAGATTTTTATATTTATTTTTTTTATAATTTTATTTAAATGGAATGATTTTATATTAGATATTTTTATTCGAGTTTAAGAAGAAGAAAAAAATAGAACATTTATTATCTAAAAAATAATTTAAAACCTCTTTTTTTCTTTTTGTCATTTACAAAACTCGAACATTATAAAACAAATAATAATAATAAGCATTTTTTTATTTTTATTTTTATTTTTATTTTTACTAACCAGTTCGGAGAAATAAACATCGACATAATACATTAGATTTTTTGACATATCTAGATGGCGGCAAATGACGATAGATTACAACTATTCAATTATTTTTATTAACATTTACAATTATACAAAATATCTTTTTCAATTCTTACAAATATATCGACTTCAAACATTCGAAAACACTATATTAAATATTTTATTAACAAATTAAATTTCACTAGAAATCATCAACAGATTTTATAAAATGATGTTTCTTTTTCTCTTTGACTAAACGAATACAAAAAAACAACAATTTTCCTAATTTGAGATTTAAATCATATACTATCAATAGAAAAAAAAAAGATCTTTCAAGCTCAAGTCTAAGAGAACAATCCATATACCTTAATATACAGTACCCGACAGAAGTCCCTGGACATGTCAAAATCCAGGTAAAGCTGAACCGTTTTCCATGACATTTTTACCAGAAATAGAGCTCGAAAAACTGTGTTCGCAAGCACCAACCTGAGCTCGACCGACTGACGAGGGAAGGTCCCCAGGTGCCACGCTCCGTTTTGAATTGGACATATGCCATTTTGTAGAGCTCAGTGAGACTAGCAAAAGCTTAAAAGGGTTCTTCCCCACGGGCCTTGGGAGTCAAGTTATGCCCTCTCTACTGAATTTTTGACCATTTTTTCGATATTGAGCAGTACATCAAACAATGCAGTTTGATCTGAAATTTTGCCCATAGATAGGTCTAATCGTCTTTAGAATATCTTGAAAATTTCAGCTGAAAAGAATGTTCCTTTGTCGAGATATTGAATTATTAAAAAATCATCGCTTTTACAGACAAGGCGCAAAAAGCCAGCCTACTTGAATATCCAATATCTCGATAAAGGAACATTCTTTTCAGCTGAAATTTTCAAGATATTCTAAAGACGAATAGATCTATCTATGGGCAAAATTTCAGATCAAAACTCTGTTGTTTGATTTACTGCTCAATATCGAAAAAATGGTCAAAAATTCAGTAGAAAGGGCATAACTCGACTCCCAAGGCCCATGGGGAAGAACCCTTTTAAACTTTTGCTAGTCTCACTGAGCTCTACAAAATGGCATATGTCCGATTCAAAACGGAGCGTGGCACCTGGGGACCTTCCCTCGTGAGATAGGATGGAGTTCGGTTTGAAACATTGCTTTCAACTTTCAAAGAATTTTATCAATTTTTTCCATTCATCAATTTAAATCAGATTGTTTCTCGCATCTTTGGGCTAAGTTTTGATTTAATTTTTATGAAAATTACGTAGGAAAATGCGAAAAACAACCCAATTTAAATTGATGAATGGAAAAAATTGATAAAATTCTTTGAAAGTTGAAAGCAATGTTTCAAACCGAACTCCATCCTATCTCAGTCGATCGAGCTTGGGTTGGTGCTTGCGAACACAGTTTTTCGAGCTCTACCTCTGGTAAAAATTTCATGGAAAATGGTTCAGCTTTACCTGGATTTTGTTTTAGAATAAAAGTTTCTATGGAATTGAATAATCAAAATAAAAAAAAAGAAAAACTATTCTTGATGATAATATCTACATCTGATGATCATTAGAAATTCTAATATATAGAACCTATTTCATTCATTTATGAATTTGAATTCGACAGATTCTATTGAAAATGTGTAAGTTTGATTCAAAGAAATAAATATCCAATCTGTACTATTTAGAAATTTTATTCTAATAAATTAAAGAATGAACTTCTTGCTGTTTAGACTCAATCGAATCAAAGATTTTCTAAAGCTGAATCCAATAGGATCTACCGTTGTTTTCTTCTCAGTATTTGCTAAATTGATTTCTATCTGAAAATAT